CCCGCCGTGATATTGCTGGAATATTGCTAAAAACGGCGTAAAACCATACTCACTCACTCACTCTTATCTTTGATGTTAGTTGGGTGGGGGGTGAGGGAAGGATGAGATTATCTTCATATTGGTGGGGGATGTCCCTAGCTTGTCTGTGAGGACATTGGCAGTTGGTGAGGCTTGCTTGGTACCTGGGAGGATATGTAGGGGAAAATCGGGAACATATAGGTGGTGGGGGTAATTTTAAGCATTACAATCACCATCAAGTAAACACTCTATATTAGTTGTAGCAGTATCACGACATGTGGTCTTGTGCGTTCTGTGTTAGGTTTTAAGACATAGTATTTCATCATGATCGAGTGAACCAATCAGATCTCATCATTCTGACATGAAAGTATGATAAATTATTTTATCAAGATCACATGAACCAATCAGATCTCATGAACCAATCAGATCTCATCATTCTGACATGGAGGTATGATAAATGCTTGTGTTGTGCAATGTTGTTTCAGACAAATGCTGTGCTATGACAGGAGGATTCCACTTCCAGAGCTGGAAGCCAGGATAGAGGTGAGAGCATACATACCTTGTGGATGACTATTATTTCATATATTGGTCACATATATTTTACAAAACCCCTGATGCTCATACTTTCATGCACTGGTGTGCCTGACTTACAAGTATTTTCAGTCAGCTGTGATATAGCTTGAATGTTGCTGACTATAGCGCCAACACAACATTCACTCTTTCTGGGCTCACCTGACTGAAAGTGAAGTGACTCGATGGTGAATTAATGTCTCTTTTCCAACATTTGTGTTTGTGTTGTTTCCAGGCCGTCAACGCCAATGTGGTGCGTGATGTGTGCATGAAGTACATCTATGACAAGTGTCCTGCTGTTGCTGCTGTCGGTATGTTTAGTGATCGCAATCAAAGTAGTCATGCCAAATAATGCATTGTATTTCTGTAAGTCCTTTGGGGTGGTGGGATAGCCCAGTGGTTAAAGCGTTTGCTCGTCACACCGAAAGCCCAGGTTCAATCCCCAAATGGGTGCAATGTGTGAAGCCCATTTACAGTGTCCCCCTCTGATATTGCTGGAATATTGCTAAAAGCGGCATAAAACCAAACTCACTCACTCTGTATTTTTTTTATGCTGTTCAATATCAATAACTGGTTTGTCTGGTCCAGATTGATTATCATCAATGTTGTCATATAGTTGGATGTTGAGTGCAGCATTGAGAAATTTCTTTTATTTATGGACAGGAGATGAATTCTTCTGATGAGTTCTTGAGTATTGAATGTGGATGGTCACTCATTACACTGTATTTTTCCCCAGGACCTATCGAGCAACTGCCCGACTACAACCGTATCCGAGCTGCCATGTACTGGCTGAGGTTATAACACAGTTAGCTGTAGGACAAGCAAGATGAACTTTATCAGTGGTCTGTTCCTGTTGGACAGAGAATGGAGCTGTGTTTGTGCGAGATGGACATTTTATTTATGTGAATATTAAATTCTGATCATCTGTGAATAGCTGTGCGTGTTTCTGGCATCTCGTTGAAAAAAGATGTTAATAAAACTTATCCTGCAAACCAGTGGTTAGACTTTATCAAACGTGTTCGCTGTAATGCATCGAGGGGTGATGTTGGTATCAACACAACCTTGGTTTCTTAGGATAATAAACTCAAGATACATGACTTGTCTTCTGTGTGTGTTTTTTGTGTGACCATGTCAATTAACATCGACCAAATGTGTTGACAGCATCACAGCTCAAGTGGGTTGAGAGCAACATTGCCAGAGTGGGTTGACAGCAACATTGACCATTGTTTAAAAGCAACATTGACAGTGGTTGACCGCAACATTGACCATTGTTTAAAAGCAACATTGACAGTGGTTGACAGCAACATTGACCATTGTTTAAAAGCAACATTGACAGTGGTTGACAGCAACATTGAACAAGTAGTTTATACACCACTCAAAACAAGTTAATTTGACATAGAAAACAGAAATTTGAATTTCGAATCGCAAATCAGGTTGTTTTTAGGTTTCAAGCTCAAAAAAGGGTCAATGAAACTTTGCATCACAATGTCGCCCAATCATACTGGGTTTCCTTTGTCATTGCATGTGCAATCTGTATACTCCGTGAATGATTGGGACATACAAATCACTGCCATGATCTCTTGAAATTTCCTCATGGTAAGACGTCAACAAAGCAATGTTGATATGGGCATATCGTCATGGCATTATGTCAGCACATGAAGATCCAGGTTAGAACAGGTTTTTAGCTTGCCCAAAAGGCGACGTAGCTGGTTTTTAGAGGCGACTAAAGTGATCGGGTGGTCAGGCTCGCTGACTTGGTGGAGGCATGTCAATTACGTGGATCAATGCTCATGTCAGACTCTTATTACTTACAGACCTCAATGGAATATTGCTGAGTGCGGCGTTAAACATCTGAGACATGCAAATGGTATTCAGTTATAGGACCAGACCATACGGAATTGTTTGCAAGCCCACAATATTCAGTTTGGGCGGCAAGCAGTTTGGCCACCTCTTCTCCAACATCATAGATCATCTTCAAGATGACAATGCTAGACCACATCATGCCTGGCTCATGAATGATTTTCTCAACCAAAATAGCATTCAGCAAATGGAATGGCCAGTATACTCACCTGATTTGGCACCAATTGAGCATGCATCGGACGAGTGAGAGACAATCATAGGCAGCCAGATGGTCTTCAAGAGTGGCAGGCTGTTCCTATGTTCTTTCAACATCTGATTGACAGCAAGCCTCAACAGGATGTCAGCTGTTTTCCAGCATGAGGTGGTTTATTCGTTGAGATAGTGATCACAGTTCTCTTTGACACTCAATGCTGACGTATTATCGGAGACTCATGTTTTACGATTAATGTAAAATATCAACAAATTATGTGACCCTTAACTTATTTTGAGTAGTATAGATACATGACCAAGTTGGCTGACAGCAACATGGCTGAGTTGTTGATAACATCACAGCAAAAGTGGTTTACAGCAACATTTCAGCTTCATCGGTCCAAGTATGTATTGATAACAAATATATTGACATAACTCAATAAAGGTTATAATTTCGAGGCTTGCCAAAGAGGATTTTAAACTTCTTTTTTTTTAAAAACTTTTATCCATATTTGATGTGTCCCGTGAAGATTCCGGGGTAGAACTGGTCTTCAGCAACCCATGCTTGTTGTAGGAGGTGATCAACAGGATCGGGTGGTAAGGCTTGCTGACTTGGTTGATACGTCATCGATCCCAATTGCGTGAATCGATGCTCATGATATCATTGACTGGATTGTCTGGTCCAGACTCGATTATTTACAGACCGCTGTCATATAGCTGGAATATTGCTGAGTGCAGCGTTAAACAACAAACCAACCATATTTGATGTCAATAGAGACGAGTGATATTCAATTCTTCATCCAAAATCATTCTTTTCCAGTTTGTAAACACTATTAACCAGTCTTGAGGGTAATAGCTTACCAGCTTCAGTGGCAGAGAGACTTATGACATCATGGTAACCAATGATGTCACAATGGTCTGCAAAGTATTGTGATGTAATTTTGATATCTTCTGTATAGCTTGATCTCATCCAAGCGATATCTTCTGTGGAAGCCAGTTTTGGATGTTAAAATGTTTATGGCCATGACAAAGCTCAATGTCAGGTGATCTAAAAATCCCAACGTGACTCCAACAATCACAATTACTGAAAAACCAAGGATCATTACTGTGTGTGGCGTGCATGCGCTTGTCCGGACCATGCCGCAGTTTAACATGAATACCTCATTCAGAAACATCCAAGCCAACCAGTCCTTGTTTTATGCCCTAATGCTCCCATCTTCTAACATCTTTTGTATGACATGGGGGGGATCGAATCCCCCAACCGTCTGCTCTCTGGACAGACACTCTCTCCACTAGATCATGGAAGGGTCATCACGACAGATACAGTATAAAGACTACGAGCCAACCAGTTCTTGTTGTATCCCGTTAATGTTGAGCACCAGGCAAGATAACAAGAAGTACCATCCATTAAAATTTTGGTGTGTCATAACTGGTGAATAACTCCCCAACCTTCCGCTCGCCGGGGAGATCCTCTATCCTCAAGAACATGGAGGCGGGTGAACAATAAAAACGTATGGGAGGTAGGCATAGGGTTCATTGTGCCGGTAGTGGTTGAAAAGAAAATACCAGTACATGCTGATATGGCAGTTGTTTTTCTTACAATAAGGTGAGGTGAGGTTAAATTGGGTTTAACGTCGCGTCCTAGATTATTGCACTTATATAGCGACGTGTGTGTGTGTGTGAGAGAGAGAGAGTCCATATGCCGATTTATAGTGCTAGCTTACTGAGATACCGTGCCGCAGTTTAACATGAATACCCCACTCAGACACAGTATACTGACTCGGAGCCGACCAGTCCTTGTTTTAGCCCCTTAATGCCGCATGCCAGACAGGGTAACAACAAGTACCATCTTTAAACGTCTTTTTGGTATGACGCGGCCGGGGATCGAACCCCGAACCTTCCGCTCTCCGGGTGGACGCTCTACCACAAGACCACGGAGGCAGTCTTATCTTACAATAAAACACTGCAGGAAGAATAAGTGATGAGGGGTGCAGTTCTGATAAACCATGACCACGAGTCATTTATTTTCTATGAGATATCGTTCAGCATTTGTGTTTATCTGTTGCCCAGCTACTACTGAGGGGAATAACTCGTTACTCTCTCAAAAAAAGCGTAGTTGAAATTACTTCAAGTTGCAAGCGTATGTTCGAATTTCCAGAAATGACGTCATGATAGAACAGTGTTTAATCGTGAAATAAACCATGCCTCGTTCATCATTGTTTTTTTGCAATTTATCTCAAAGCTATCTTATATGTACAAATCAAATATGATCCCAACAGTTTGTCTTGTTCTTTCAGCATCATAATAAATGCTTCTGTCCCTGTTCTTAACGCTGCTGCACAAAATACACAAAAAAAGGTTGATGGTATTTATAACTTTTTATTGTTGTTGTTGTTGTTAGGAAGCACAAGTACTTCATCATCATCATAAAAAAATGAATTTGATAAAAATTTGTACAAAGAGATCAACATGTTGACATCATATGTATGTATATACAGCAATAAATAAACAACAAGGCCAAGTGGGGCTTTGACGCAGCGCATAAGTCACAACACGGCGATAGCTCAACTTAAAGACAGGAGTATCACAACAAGGGAAATAACCCTTCTACAACATTCTCACTGAGGCTACATGTCAGTTTCTACATACAGAATAGCAGCGGTCTCCATCCAAGGCACTTCTTTCCATCTATACTGTGAACCAATCAGAAATGAGATCACCACAGATTTCTATCCTTTTCTCTCCGGATATTTTTGTATTATGCGTTGATATTACTATTTGAACACAAACTTGCCCAAGAACAAAATGCAAGGAATATCTCAGCATTAGAAATTACGAAATGTACATTGTATTGGAGACCACTGAAATATTTCAAATTATGCATTAAGTATTACTTGTTTTTTTTCCACTCTATTTTTCTCGTACATTCTGTCATTCTGATTCTTCAACGCCTAACTAATGGCAAAAAATGTATTTGGAACAAACTGACAATATACTAACATGGGATTCCACTTATAGGACACGCTGATATCGATACACACTACATTCCAAATGTTTGTACTGACATTATCCGTGTGATGTGATCTCTTCCATTCACGTTGTCGAGCAAACACGCCCTGGATAGACCGCAACCCCAGCTGTTGTACAGGTAGGGAGGGAATGGCTGCAAGTAGCCCCTAGAAGCACTAGCTAACACTATGTGGGAACCGACAGTGCATAATATAGGACTATCATGAATGTACAAAAATGACGGATGGCATATGCACAATGTTACAAGGGTGGACTGTACAGAATATACACGTAATACTTGTCGAGACAGACAAAACATTTACAAATACCTTTATGATTAGGTACAGATAATACTTACAAAACCTCTTTACACAAAGTACATGATAAAACAGACATTGAAATTAGTGTATATGGTTTAGTCTCAGTGCGAGCTATCAATGATATATATATCACTTTGTCCATGGAATATGGTTTTGTTCAGCTACAATGTTGCTTTCTACTATTCTAATCTCAAAGGAAATACAGAATTTCATTGTTTGCTCAGATATTTATAGACAAATACTGTCTGCAAATTTGTGCAGCCATCAAAATGAAAATGGCAGCGTAACTGTTTATGTATTACCGTATTCGACGTAATAAGCGCCCACAGCGATATTTGCTAATATATTGGCCAGTGAACAATCCAAATTAGCACCCCTTCTTTTGATCAATGTACACAAGACTTATTTATTTGCGTATAATACACACTCATGTGTTATGTGCACACTTAATTATGGGCAATTAAATTCTGGAAAAATATATCTGTCGTACATAAACATTTCAGGCTGTCAGCATACACCACGATATTTATCTTTCAACTGTTTTTTTTCTTCACTAAAATAATATTCCAGTAAGAGGCCCCTATCCCAATTTTGAGAGCGCCCTGGGCGCTTATTATGTTGAATACGGTAGTTATTAAATATGACTAAAAATAAGATATTCCATTTAGGCACATATCATACGAATTCATACATAATGCTCAACGATGGGTTATGGCTGGGAAATGGATGATTATTATGGATGGTTGGTGTCCTGCTTCTACACGAACAAGAAGAGTAATGGACCATGAAATGGAATGTAACAATTATCTCTGTGAGTTTGTGAAGACGGTCGAGTGCTCAGACAGAGGTCTCATTGCTCGATCTGCAAAAACAAACCAAAAACAGAAAATAAACAAAAGTCACCCACAGAACTTCAACAACATGCAAGAAACAGTGTTAGGGGTACAGACACAAAGAAAAGTGTTAAGTCAAAACTGGTAATGGCAACTTGAACAAATCAAGTTCAATTTTGAAGATATTTATCGATGAAACAAATCACTGCCCACAGATTTTGATTTTTTTTTAACTGATGAACCAAAGACAAATGTGTTATGCTTAGTTATGCAACAAAACACCATAAACCAATTGTTTGGTTGGTCATGTGACAATTACTGTTAAAAAAACCCAACTCTTTGCTGGTGTTAGGTACAAACTTATAGTTGGAGGAAGTTGCTAAAACCACACATCAGTAACCCCAGAAAAAGTTATTTGTATCTTAATTATGTGAATATTAGATTTTCAAACAATTCTTATAAATGATGTTAGTTTGAAATTTTTTAATAAAGCATCTTCTAAAAGTATTTCCCCTTCCCGAAATGACACTCATGTGTGGTTGGCTAGAGGACAAAGAAGGTAGTGGTAGGCATGCAGGGGAGACAACCCTGTCTTCTGATGACTCCTGGCAAACACAATCCAGTCTTAAACATTATATATATATATATGCCAAAATACAAAAGACTTTGATTTTAAATGTTTTTATTCGAGAATTGAAAGGTGGAAACATATTCAAAATTTATTTTGTTCGATGATTTAACATTTCAATAAGCCAGCTGTTTATGAGAGATGGTTGTGTTTGCCAGGGTGGGTGGGAAGACGACAGTCAACCGTAACCAACTGGGTGCAGAGACAGGTGAATGTGTAATACCATATCCTTCATACAGGGAACCATTAACCAGCGCTTAATTCAGAAATTTACAAAAACTAAAATGAAACAGTAACAAGAAATCAAAAAGAAATGTCTCAGTTTTCATAATTTAGACTAACATTTACTCTCTGAAATGCAAATATTTTCAGATGATTTTTGTTGTTATTTGTCTTTTAATAAAATAAAAGAAACACAAGAAATCTAGACTTGCTGGGGATTTTAGTGTATTTTTAATTCGAGGGTCTATACAAAAGACTGGTTGGAAATGAAGGAGATGGTTGCTACGTGGTTATCCCATCACAACAAAATCAGTAGTTCAAATGCTATGTCTTTCCACAACGGTTTGACATTTTCAGGTCAGTTCAAGGGACATAATTCTGCTTGCGACTACCTTAAAATTTGTCCTAGTTCCCTTGAGAGGCGCCAGAGCGCACTTACTCAGTGTCGGAGGAAACGCTGCCATTGTGAGTGAGTACTTGCACCCTCATGCCCTGTTTCGGGCTGCTGGTACTCGAGATATTATTCGGTAAGCTATCGGTGCGAACAGGGGGCACAATCGTTACAACACGACCTATCAAAACAAAGAAGGCGGTTGGTGCAGATATACAGAATACAGGTCTGTCAATATTCAGTTTGGACACAGACTCAAAATATGTACAACATGGTTTGACTTATGATATATTTTTTAAAATAAAAACAAATCTAAAATTTTGTACGCAAACTTTTAAAATTGTTCTCTAAAATTTAATGATGAAAAGGGATGAGAGTGAGAGTATTTGACAGACATGATTCTGTAGCATGTGTTCATAAACTAACCAACTTCAGTTCCAGAAAGTTCAGATACCCATGATAACTTGTGTATTTTTTTCAGCCTCTCGCTCAATGCTGAGTGGTATAATGAGAACAAGTCCTTGTTTGTTGTTAAAGCCACACTTAGCAGTATTCCAGCTATATGATGGCAGTCAGTAAAATAATCGAGTCTGGACCAGACACCATGACACCATAAGCATTGATCTACACAATGATGACATGCACCAACCAAGTCAGCAGGTCTGACCACCCGATCCCTTTAGTCACCGTTTACGACAAGCATGGGTTGCTTGTAGTGAGTAAGTGAATGGTTTTACATCGCTTTTAGCAACATTCCACCAATATCATGGCAGGAGACACTAGAAATGGGCTCCATTCATTGTACCCATATCTGGAATCGAACCCGGGTCTTCAGCATGACAAGCGAATGCTTTTACCACTGGGCTACTCGACCGCCCCGGTTGCCTGCCGACCAATAGAACAAGTGACAATCACAGTCACATGTCAGATGATTTCACAATCTCATTGGAATAATTACAAATAATTTCATCACTCTTCATCTAGAAAAGATATGAATCTGGTTATTTCTGGAACTGATTTATGGCTCAACATAAATCATGCAAATGTTAACTGAAATAAAACCAAATCTTCACAAATACAGAGACATTGTAGGTTCATGGGTTCCATTGCTTAAACTAGGACACGGAGTGCATGGCGGTACGTTGTTATGCCGACAGCGTTGCATGTACGGTTAGAGCACTTCTTTGGTATGGAATCAGTTGTATGCAAAGGAGAACCCCACAACGACAACACGTGACTACACATATATACATTCATGATGGTATGGTTGACAGACAGATATATATATTTATAGTAGTAGTTAAAAATACGATGGTAACACTGACATGGGTCAACAGCTAGAACTGATTGGCATAAAAACTATGGTTGCACTAAATTGGCACATCGGATGGGGAAATATTGAAGAATTGCTGTATACAATTTTATAGAAATAGAGCATTATGTAAAATGTCTGATTATTATAATAGCAATAAATGTAGGTGTTGTAAATTGCTGGTGTATCTGGATGACGACATGAATTCGGCCAAGCCCTGCTTGTGCATCATCACATCACTATCGATCATGCTAATATTTTTGGAATGTACACTTATTGCACTTTAAAATGAATTCCAGAAAGATACACAAATAACATTATATACTGGATACATTGAAACAGAGAAACACCAATATCCCATCCCCTCTACGGGTGTCAACATCATCCCATAGCTTCACAGTGTAACCATGGGAACACACTAACAGAGCTGCGAGAACTTGCTCATACCTTGGCGTTCTGATGCCGGTAACGTCACATCCGGTTGGACGTTTGATAACCTTGGACTGTTACCTAACCTTTGACCTGGTTCTCCATCCCCCGACCAAAGACCTGTTGAGTTACAATGTAACACCACATTAAGTACAAGGCACAAACACTGGGAATGTTATAGCTATATACTAAACATTATCTTGAACACTGAAAATAGACATCTAAAGACAAATATGTAGGACATCAGACTTCTGGTTTCATCAACGCAGTATGTGAGAAAAGACGACACAAAACCAAACATGATGCTATTTTCAACACAACTTACCATCAGCATTATTATTTCTCAGTCTATCTAACTCCTTTTCTTTTTTCTTTTTCTCTATTTCTTCTCTAGCTTTTTCTGCAACGCAACATCACCAACATATCAAATGGCGTATATCAGTTGTATTTAACAAGTTGTTTATTCACTGTATGTGGTTTAAACAAGACAAATATGGAGAAGTCTCGCGATTACTCCCGCTATAACAGGGCATGTAGCTTCACAGACATTTTAAATACTCAGATGATGGCTTGCTTTTAAGAAAAAAGTTGTGTTTCATAAGTGAATGGGATGTTTTACAGTTGTTCATATGATTAGAGAAAAATCTACAAATGTTTCTTAAGCGTCCGAAAACCCATAACACAGGGATACAAGAGATCACTGTTATGATGACGTTACAGTGTAGATCCTTATACTGTTGTCAAGCAAGACACTCTTGCTTGACAAAGACATAAGGTTCTATAACAAAACATCACTATAATAGCATAATAAAGAAGTTGTTAGCCAGAGTTATGTCCACTTTTTTTCCCCCGAGACAACAAACTTATCATTTTCTGTTGCAATTTGTACCTGGATGACATAAATTGTAAATGAATTTGATGTGTGTGCTTAAATAAGACAACATGGGATACAAAGGTAACAACAAACATTGGAAGGCATTTTCTGAAGACATTTTCCTTAACATCAAACATGTTCTACTCCGGTTCTGGCAATGTACATGGCTATTGTGGTGCTTCAAGTGAAGCCTGTCCATCAGCTGTTCATCAGCTGTCGACTTACCTACTGCTTTGCTCTTAGTCGGGGTAGGTTCCCACCTTGGACCGAGGTCAAATTCATCGTCTTCATCTGAGGAATGACTAGAAGCCAGATCAAGACTGTTCCTATCTATAGAAACCTCACTGTCAGAATCCGAGTCATTGCCAGGTTTATGAGTTATCTCCCCTGTATCAGGATCTGTAAAGCGAAGCAGTCAAATCCTTACTAAATATTTCCTCGACACACAAATGTCTGAACTCATCTCATCAATTCCATTCAAATTGTTAAATATCTGGTTGAAAATATTCTAGGATGTTAACTTACTTGACCCATTATCTTACATCATAAGTGAAAGAAATTAACGGTCAAATAATTGAAACTGTTTCGTGAACTTACTGGTACCATCTGGCAATTTGTCGTGGAATCCGGACGGGTCATATCCGTAGGGTGGGATGCCGGTGTTGGGTGGATACAGCGCTGTGGACGGCACGTGCCCCGATGTGGAGCTGCTTGTGCTGCGCAGGTAGTCGTCCCCTTTATGGAAGGTGCCGCTGCTCTTACTGGACCGACTTGTTGTCGACGTTGTGGAGATGCCGATGTTGACCCGATGAAGACCTCCATCATTAGAGGAATCATGGCGATAGGCTAACGCAGATCTCTACAATGAAAGAGTTGAAAACAGGTCAACAGCTGAAAATAAATCTTTCTTACTTCCATGTCAACCATTTACAATAATTGAAAACAAACAGATCGAGATGGAACTCGTTTGGTTGTTGCCATATTTCTAAGAACAAGATTTGTTTATTCTTAGGCTCTGTGAACACACCTTAAAACAAGAAAATGTGTTGCATTCATTAACTTTTGAACAGTATTTCTTTCATATCCTGGCATATAAGCATATTGGTTAGGTTATTTGTTGTTTAACGCCGCACTCAGCAATATTCCAGCTATATGACAACTGTTTGTGTAAATAATTGTTTCTGAACCAAACAATCCAGTGATTGGCATCATGAGCATCTTTCCACTCAATTAGGATCGATGACATGCATCAACCAAGTCAGTGAGCCTGACCACCCGATCCCGTTAGTCGACTCTTACGACAAGCTTAGTCGCCTTTTACAGCAAGTATGGGTTGCTGAAGACCTATTCTACCCCGGATCTTCACGGGTCTCAGCATAATGGGGAAGGACTGTCACTGTGGTGAAACTCCATAGCTCACCTGGCTAGGTGCTCAGGTAGCAAGGGTCATTATCAGTGTCTCAAGTCCCTGCTCATCCGTCAGGTAAGGGACACAACTCTGCTCAATGACTTACAAGTATTCACCACCTGACTTACAACTTACAGAAAGCATTGTGCTCCTTGTTCCTGCTAGATTTTCATCAATTTCTAGTTTCTTGCCTTGGATGCGGTACCATGCTCTTTTTATTTGGAATCGAACCTGCAAGAGCATCATAGAGGAAGATCATTAAAATATGAAATGGTATTTTTACTGTGCTTCAATCAAAGAATTATTTCCCTAAAACAAATCTACCTTCACAAAATCGCTTTTTGGGTGAGTATTATTTTAAGTCACTTTTATCAATACTGCAGGAATATAGCAGCTTCACACATTGCACCCATGTAGGGAATCAAACCTGGGTCTTCAGCATGATGAGTAAACACATTAACCACTAGGCTACCCAGGCCAACTTTTGGGTGAAGTAGTGAGTGAGTATGGTTTTACGCCGCTTTTAGCAATATTCCAGCAATATCACGGCGGGGGACACCAGAAATGGGCTTCACACATTTTACCCAAGTCAGGAATCTAACCTGGGTCTTCAGCATGACGGGTAAACACATTAACCACTAGGCTACCCCACCAGCCCACCTTTTGGGTGAAGTAATAACATCTATTTTACAAATAACTTTCAAGGTGACATGTAGGCAGAGGATTTCATTGTCTGCAGTGTACAAGTGACTCTCACCTTTGCATTGAGCAGTACGTATGCCAGCACTATAAAGACACCTTCGAGGAACATGAACACATAGAATACGTAGTTGAGGGAGGGGATATGGAAGTTGACCGAGATGAGACCAGTCACCCACGTCACCCCCACTAACAGCAGCAATATGATGGTGCTCAACAGGCCACACCTGCAAGAAGACAATAGCATGAACACACCTGTAACAATACAATAGCATGAACACAGCTGTAACAAGACAACAGCATGAACACAGCTGTAACAAGACAACAGCATGAACACAGCTGTAACAAGACAACAGCATGAACACAGCTGTAACAAGACAATAGCATGAACACAGCTGTAACAAGACAATAGTATGAACACACCTGTAACAAGACAATAGTATGAACACACCTGTAACGAGACAACACCATGAACACACCTGTAACAAGACAATAGTATGAACACACCTGTAACAAGACAATAGTATGAACACACCCGTAACGAGACAATGGCATGAACACACCTGTAACAAAACCGCATGATCACACCTGTACCAAGACAACAGTGTGAGCACACTTTTAATGAGATGTTGGCTCACAAAATTGACCATATAATTGACCAAATGAGAAATGTTCCTATCAGGTTGTTTGATATGAAATACAGCTACACCTTCTCACTGGGGACATTCAAAACATGTCAAGTTGTCTGTGTGTTATTTGATAGTGCAGTGCAGTGCAGTGCAGTGCAGTGCAGTGCAGTGCAGTGCAGTCCAGTGCTGAGCCACGACCATCAAATTAAGAAATCGCAAAGATTTTAATCATATTATTCCCCATTTCTTACTAACAGCAGTGATAAAATCTCACATCTTTTTTTCAATTTCACCTAATCATAAAAGATTTGGCCAAAATCTACCAAAATCTATACAAGGCCTAATGTGACTATATTGTTACCTGAGTGTGTTGAGGTTTTCAGGCTCCCGGATCTTCTCCCTACAGCTGGCCTTCATGGCTAGGATAAAGGTGAAGATGTTGGCCTGGAAATGAGATACAAAGAAACATGAATGTAACCCTGGGAGTGAGTGAGTGAGTTGGGTTTAACGCCGCTTTTAACAGTATTCCAGTTATATCGCGGCGTGTCAGCTTAATGTGGGAGAAAAGCCAGTAGTGATGCAGGTCTCAGACGTTTACCACTTCGGTGAAACCCACAAGCACGGGCATGGTGCTGACAAATCTAGAAACATAATCGGGGCCACAATCATAGGTTTCCGGCGTGCCCAAGGGACGCAACTCTGCACAGCGAATCATGGCGCCTTAGGCAACTGGGTCACCCGTGCCCCCTGTAACCCTGGGAAACTAGATTAGATGCAGATGCAGCTGCATCACAGGCATAAGTCAATCTTCGTACATCACATGGGAAACATATCTGTCACACTCTTAGGGCATTCATCAAAGAGTAGGAGATCAACTGTATATCACAAAAGCATTTAGATTGCTTCTACTTAAGTGCATTCTTATGGATGCCTATGGTGATACTTCTTCAATAACTGTATAAACTGTGATAAATTGAGGCATATCAGTCGTACAGGTTCCACGTCCATTGAGATATGACCTACCAGGACTCCGAGACAGATCGGACCCGCGAAGCTCCAGATAAACATATCAGACACAGACATCCAGCAGCTGTAACAAGAAGAACAAACAATGCATCAGATAATTTACAAGCAACACAAGCACCTGTCTTCCCACAGCAGCTGATTCAGTAGAAGCAGTGTACAGTCACAAAGACAAGCAACACTAGTACCCTCGACCTAAACTTGAAGGTTAAAAAAACACCTAAAATAGCAATTAGTTCTTCAGACATCACTTTTCTCATTGCACATCATTAAAACATTAAGTGCACTATTAGTTTCAGGCCAAATCGGGAATGTTTAATCAATCACATGAACCACTTTCGATAATAACAGTAGACTTCATTTTCATGAAAGTGAATGTGGTTATTTCATTTATACATCTGGACAGGATCCATGGTCTTTAAAATAGTGTTATCACTGAGATTTTACTTACAATTGTTTATTTTCGTATCCCACGGTATTGAGACCCACCGACAAGCCAACGATTATGCCAGGAACAACTGAAGAACAAAATCCTAGCGTTAAATATTGGCACCAATACGAAAACAGATTACAGCAAACTTCTCTTCCTGTACCCTGGTTGTTAAAAAAATGGATTCCGGTACTCCGCTTCTTGGTCTTTTCTTTCGCTTGTTGCTTAATGTCGCACTATTCCAACAATATGACAGTGACCTGTTTTATTTGTAAGTTTTATATTTAACGCAGCACTCAGCAATATTCCAGCTATATGACGGTGGTAAGTAACTGGTTCTGGACAAGACAATCCAGTCATTGATATCCTGAGCATCGATCAACGCAATTGGGATACGATGACATGTATCAACCAAGTCAGCAAGCCTGACCACCCGATCCTGTTGATCACCTCCTACAACAAGCATGGGTTGCTGAAGACCAGTTCTACCCCGGATCTTCACGGGTCGATAGTGGTCTGTAAATAATAGTCCAGTCTGCACCAAGGAAACTAGGGATTGACAGAGTGTTCATTGGGTATGATGAAATTCATCCAACTAAGTAATCTATTGAACTGATCCACTTAGTTGCCTCTTACGACAAGCATATGTTGCTAGGCACCAATTCTAACCTGGAATCCCCAAGCGGTCTTTCTCAATGAGAACTGCCTTGATAAGCTATATATTGTGTGGCAACTACTGACAATACAACGCACCATATCCTACGAGGTAGTAGAACTTCATGGACCCATAGTTGATGATGCGCATCTCAGTGAGCATTCTGTAGATGTGGAGCACGTCGACAAACAGCCAGGCAAAGGCGGAGACGTAGAAGTAGTGAAGGCTGATACTCACCAACTTGCAGAACAACTGAAGAGAGATGAATAACAGCTTGTCATACACCGCAGGACATACATAATGTTATACAATGACATGAACAGGACACACAGTATAACATCTAATACAATCGCAAGTATAGGAGCAGAGATACAAGTTATCCAATGGCAGCTACAACACAGGATATATAACATGTTATACAACAGCAATAACAGGACAAGAGATACAATGTTATTCAACAGTAAAAAGGTGATTCCTATCTATTTTTGTCTGCAAAGCTAAAGTGCATTATTATACTGTCAGAGCTGGAATAGATTTGTTTTACATCTGTCAAACACATCGTATTGACACATCTACATTCAAAAGCTTCACAATAAGTCTGTAGGGTTTGTAGGGACTTTAAGGTTTGCATATACTGTACAACAACAACAGGATAATAGCATACCTTTTGTCCGACACGGTCGATGCCAATGATGAAGGACAGCTGGGTTATGAAGAGGACAAAGATGATGTTGATGTGGATGCTGTTCCAGTTACATTGCAGTCGTTTAAAGACCATGAAGACGAAGAAGGCGAAGACGAGACATGCCATGGAGATAACGACCAGGATGTAGGTGAGGACCTCCAGCTGAACCGTCGACGAATACAGATACTGAAATATAACGACAGACGGAATGCAGGATGATGGAGTTAGTTGGGACAAGAAGCAGCAGAAGTCTGTGTTTGTTTGTTGTTTAACACCGCACTCAGCAATATTCCAGCTATATGACGGCAGTCTGTAAATAATTAAGTCTGGCCCAGACAATCCAGTGATTGACATCATGAGCATCGATCCGCGCCTTGGGATCGATGACATGCATCAACCAAGTCAGCGAGCCTGACCACCTTATCACGTTAGTCGCCTCTTACAACAAGCATAGTCACCTTTTACGACAAACATGGGTTGCTGAAGACCAATTCTACCCCGGATCTTTACGAGTCTTCAGTATTGCAGCAGCCCAATTTGGCAGATGACATTAACAATGTAATCCTAGTTAGTTTTCAGTGAGTGAGTTTGATTTTCTGCCAGTTTCAGCAATGCTCCAGCAATATCAAGGCAGGGGACACCAGAAATGGGCTCACACATTGCACCCAAGTGGGAATCAAACCCCTCCATGTGACTAGCAAACGCTTTAACCATTAGGCCACCCATAGCCAGTTTGTATTCAGACCCAGGTCATTAATGGTAGCAATAAATAGTGACAGTCACAGACCAGAGAATATCCTGCATAAACAATGGTTCCTCTAGACATCTTTCACAAGACATGTATTTTCAAGATCAAAACATATTTTTCACAAGACAATATCAGCTGAAGATTGCGAATGACTGACCTCTGCCCCTGCTACATCCATGAGGAGGGCAAACGTGGAGAGGTGTTTACAGGAACACACTACGTAGTCCTCGCCGTTCTTTGTGTACTGGTCAATCACCGAACACCCATCTGGCGACCAAAATCCACTCCTGAAATGAAGAGGAACATACTTCAAGCTGGCTCAGGCGGAACATACAACAGATAACGACTCAATCAAGAAAAGATGGCATCAATATGAGATATTACAATGGTTGCCAGAGGGCTTCACTTTTTGTAGGATGTCAACACAGACAAAATGTCTGATGTACTGAGGCTCAATTAGGATTTAGGAAATTAATATATTTAATGACGGGAAAAAAAGGGTTCAAAGGCTAATTTATAACTATCCTTCTCATTTAAAAATAACCTTACAACAGTGACATACACCAAAACATTGCAACACTGTTCAGAGGTGTATCAAGGAATATTCAAACTGGACTGCACACTCCTATGAGAACAAAAACACAATAAGAGTGAGTGAGTATGGTTATACGCCGCTTTTAGCAATATTCCAGCAATATCACGGCGGGGGACACCAGAAATGGGCTTCACACATTGTACCCATGTCGGGAATCGAACCCAGGTCTTCGGTGTGACGAGCGGACGCTTTAACCACTAGGCTACCCGACCGCCCCAAACACAATAAGAATGAATCAGGTTGACACATCAGGCAAAAGATATAACATGGGGACAGAGAAGGGTGGAGGAGAAGATCAGAATCAAACTTTACTGCATTTGATGTGATATATTGTATACTACTCAAAAGAAGTTCAAGAAAGCCCAATATTTTCATATGACTTCAGCTAATCTGCCATGTTACCAAGAACCACTCTCCTAACAAGAGTTCCATGCGGCCGGCAGCCAGCTAGCATAGTACCTCTGCCACAGGCCAGCGCCATGTGACGATTCGTCACATCTTTCACAGTCCATTCAAAATATTGCATATGCTTTTCATACGTTTCATGTTTGACAAGTCTACACATTTTCATAAACAAATGTCAAAGAATTGTTAACTTTCATTGAGAAAGTATGCAAATACGTAAAAATCTACTTGTTTTTGCGTAGTTATCCTATGTTTACATTGGTTGTACGGCTCCACATGCTGTCATCGAAGCCCAACGGAGAGCTAGCGACACGGTCACTTTCATGCATAAATATATATTGTCATGCAACTCACTGTCGCAGTTGTAGTAGCATATCTATATAGTTATGCAAAACAATATGTAAAGCGCCCCCAAATACTTGCATTAGTCCGTTCTATACTGATTTCTGAAAAAGCGCATTTGTTTACAAACAAGAGAAAAGTCCGGTCACGTGATATGCAAATTTGCCTGTGGCAGTGGTGTTATGCTGAGTCACCACTGCGACGGAGTGTGACCAAGTACAAGGAAACAATGTGTGTATTGTGTATTACCGCTCCGTGTCGTGCTTCCAGTAGACACACTGGGGCCCAGTCCTGTTGGAGGAGTACAGTTGCTTCAGCGTGATGTTGACAGGAGTGGAGATGGAGCCGTTGATGACTTTGCCCTCATCCACAATCACCACCGTCATCACAGGACTGTTGATGACGACAGGGATGTCGCTCATCACCCTAGAGCAGAAAGCAAACACATGATTCAGCCCTGACTTGCAGATACTGAAACTAACGTACACTGTTGGTGGAGATATTGGTGGAAAAGTTGGTTGGCCCACTGAGATACTGTGCCGCAGTTTAACATGTATACTGAGTCCGTACCGACCAGTCCTTGTATTACCACCTTACTGCGGAGCGCCAGGCAGGGTAACAACAAGTACCATTTTTTAACATCTTTTGGTATGATGCAGCCGGGGATCGAACCCTGGACCTCCCGCTCTCAGGGCTGACGCTCTACCACTAGACCACGGAGGCGGTCTGAAGATGTTGTTGAAGATGTATGTTCAAGGTTTACAATACAATGACATCAAAACTGTTTGTTTTACAATGCAGTAACAAATATTCCAGCTGTATGATGGCAGCCTGTAGATAATCATGTCTGGTCCAGGCAAACCAGTGGTTGATAACATGACAAGAACCCACATTAGAATACAATGACACAAACAATCAGCCCAGTCACAGTGGTTCTCACAACAAAGGGGAGCTGCTAAGGGCATATTCTGATTCAGAATCTAGAGTCTTGGCGACATGCACCTCTCACTAAACAATGTCAGATTGCCAGGCAAACTTGTTGAAGGACAGCAGAAGATGTTGGTAAGATGTTGATCTTAAGGGAGATAATAATGATGACTGACCTGACGGAAGGTGAGAACTGCTTTGGCAGGATATTCCCCATGGTGCGATACAGGATATATCCTACATATGCCTTGGGAACACTGTTGTCTGTGTGGGTACCTGGAAAACAAAGTATAACATTATAGGAGTGCAATATGCCTATTTTTTCCTATGCAATATATGGCATAGATGAATGCATAACATGGAATAGCTGTCGTTATTACATGGAAATACTATATGCAAGTACTCACCTGCAGTAACAGGCTTGAAGATGGACATTGGCAGTTTGATGTTGGAATCATCATCAAAAGTTCCTTTCTTCTGAATGTGGTCGTACTTCGGGATTGTCTTCTTTGTTATGTTGTCCTTAGCAATCCAGTCAACACCCAACACTGTAACGGAGAAGAACCACAGATTACACACGTCTTCAAAGCTAACAGGTATTTTGTGCAAATATTTCAAAACCAGAATTATCTCTATTATGTATACATCATGTGACTCAATTATGAGTGCATACATGCCCTTGACTCTACCCCTGCCTGATAATTGAGTATTTTCCTGTACTTACCCATATTGTCGGATATAGCATCAAATGCTGGGGTCTTGGTGGAGGCGAAGTTGGTGGCCAGAGTAACAAGGTATTCCTCAAACAGGTTCAGTAGTTTGGATGCTCCATCCCATTTGGTGTTGACTGTGTCCCAGTAGACTTTCGTCTCCGGCTCTGTCACATTGCTGACAGCCACCAGCATTTCCTGCAACATTCACAACACCTGCTGTCAGATTTGTAACTGAGTCCCAGACTCTACCCCCAGTCCCAGACTCGACCCCCAGTCCCAGACTCGACCCCCAGTCCCAGACTCGACCCCCAGTCCCAGACTCTACCCCCAGTCCCAGACTCGACCCCCAGTCCCAGACTCGACTGAGCAACAGTCCCAGACTCGACCCCCAGTCCCAGACTCTATCCCCAGTCCCAGACTCGACCCCTAGTCCCAGACTCAGCTGGGTGGCTGCTGACTAATGCCAGTTTATGATGTTTCACTGAGATACTATGTAGCAGTTTAAAATAGACACCCCACTCAGACACATTATATTGACTCCAAGCTGACCAGTCTTTGTTTTATCCCCTTAAGGCTAAGAACCAGACAGGGTAACAACAAGTACCATCTTTTAAAATCTTTTTATACGACTCAGTTGGCGATCCAAGTGCTCTCTGGGCAGACGATCTAACCACTAGTCTATGGAGAAGGTCACATGATTCAGACGAATGTTCTCGAGGTCAATACTGATCTCATATTGTCCGATAAATCTAGTATCACATCATGTGCAGTATCTGTGTGTACCTGGATGTAGGTTCCATGCTGCTCATTGGTGAGACTGAGGCCCTTCTGTTTGACCTCATACTTGAGAATCTTGTAGATGATCTGATAGGCTGTGGAGATGTCGCCACCATACATTGGACGTGTCGTGTTCGTGGCGTTCCGCAGACTGTCGATGGAGGTCTTTGCTACGAATGTGTTGATGGATCCTTCATTAAGCTGAGCAATCTGAATCGAAATAGAAGAAAATAATTTAGTACGAAAAGAACTCGAATGACAAAAGTCAATTATCTCACACATACAGTTTCAAATGACTATTACAACCAAGATCAAAAGGTCAACACTCTTCCCTTGAGTGATGAGTTCGGTTTACGAGCAACTGAAACTCCCACATATGTAAATGTTCTGTATAACAAGTACAAGGTCAAACAAATTGATGATGTTACTAAAAAACCTACATATATATTGTTCAACTTCATTTCTTTCCCACTGGTTAGGAAAGCAAGATACTACTACTTACACAACAACTTGTGGATAGGTGACAATGAAGATGACGTTTGTTGAAAATCTTAAGATTATTTAGTATGATGACAGCCAGGAATATTTGAAAAGGGTAATAAGGTTTTTGCAAGAATTATTTCAAATAATGTTTGTAAATGGAGCTTGTAAAGCTGTCTCCATACTCACCGATGCTTGAAGCTTGGTGAAGTTGGCACTCGTACAGTTGTACAGATCTGGCTCCAGCCAGCTGTCTGTTTCCAAACACTTCCGAACTGCATCGCCTGCAAGGAGTGAAAGGTGAAGTATTACAATCCCTAACATTGGTGCCCACGATGCAGAGTCAAAGGTAAACGGATCCACTGATTCCCATGACACACTGCATATCTTCTCTGCTGAGGAAAATGTCACCACCTGAACCCCATTCTGGTCAACACAGCACGCTTGTCCTACTCAGGATCAACCATATAAACCCCATTCTGGTCAACACAGCACGCTTGTCCTACTCAGGATCAGCCATATAAACCCCATTCTGGTCAACACAGCACGCCTGTCCTACTCAGGATCAACCATATAAACCCCATTCTGGTCAACACAGCACGCCTGTCCTACTCAGGATCAGCCATATAAACCCCATTCTGGTCAACACAGCAAGCCTGTCCTACTCAAGATCAACCATATAAACCCCATTCTGGTCAACACAGCAAGCCTGTCCTACTCAGGATCAGCCATATAAACCCCATTCTGGTCAACAGCAAGCCTGTCCTACTCAAGATCAACCATATAAACCCCATTCTGGTCAACACAGCATGCCTGTCCTACTCAGGATTGACGTATAAACCCCATTCTGGTCAACACAGCATGCTTGTCCTACTCAGGATCAACTATATAAACCCCATTCTGGTCAACACAGCATACTTGTCCTACTCAAGATCAACCATATAAACCCCATTCTGGTCAACACAGCAAGCCTGTCCTACTCAGAATCAACCATATATACCCCATTCTGGTCAACACAGCATGCTTGTCCTACTCAGGATCAACCATATAAACCCCATTCTGGTCAACACAGCACGCCTGTCCTACTCAGAATCAACCATATAAACCCCATTCTGGTCAACACAGCATGCCTGTCCTACTCAGGATCAGCCATATAAACCCCATTCTGGTCAACACAGCAAGCCTGTTACTTTCATGACTAACCCCCGATCCCCATACTGTTTAACTCTTGGTCAACAAGCATGACATACTATGCACATATTTGCAATTTCAACGAGAACCTATTCTGATGATAAAATGCACCAGGTTAATTCTGCCCTAAATTACCCAATGGGCGCAATACAAACTTTGTACCTACCAATGGCAGTTCCAGGACAGTCTATCACTGCTTGGTCGCCAAGAGAGACTGGATCCCACCAGATTCCAGCTGCATAGTTCCTCGGACAGTAGGCGTACACAACTGAAATAAAAATGACATAAAATTGACTTGTGAAATTATTACAAAACTTTTTACTTAATCTTTCCTTTTATTATGATAACTTGTATTCATAGTTTAGAAAATATAACAACCCATTCGAATCTTCTGGGTCGACATGAAAACATGATAGAACACATATTCCAAAAAGCTGAATGATGTTCTTCAATACTGTGAAGCTATTAAACTCTCCCTTACCATGGCAGCCCTCGTCCTCTCGGATCTCCGCGAATATACTTGGACACTGGTCACACCTCCGCCCCACGATGCCCGACTTGCACGTGCACTGACCGGTGACAGGGTGACACGTTGCCCCCGACGCGCCGAGATGGTAGCAGTTACATGGGTAGCACACTTCGCTTCCTGCTGGCCGGTAATGGTTCGCCTAAAGGGAATGACGACAGCATTAATTTGAAGCCCAGTGCTGATTTTACGACTCCACATTTTTTTCCTAATTATTCATTTTCTTATCATTTATGAATTGATTTATTTTTTTCATCATGAAATGAGTGATGATAAACTAGAGAACACTGTTTAAACCAAATATGTATTTATACTGATAAATGATTCATACTAATTGCTTACCTCAACTCATCTTCAACAAGGTAGTGGACATATGCTTGGGGTCATGAACTGAACCATGTGGAAAACTGAACAGGGGTGACCACCACTGAGTAACCCCCATCCCAACTATTCCCATGGACACTAACATACAAAATACATTCTCCACAGAACTATTGGTCCATATCCATGTATTTTGGTCCACAGTTGTTGTCAAGATAGTAGCATCAGATTAACTTGTTGTCAAGATAGCAGCATCAGATTAACTTGTTGTCAAGATAGCAGCATTAGAATAACTTGTTGTCAAGATAGCAGCATCAGATTAACTTGTTGTCAAGATAGCAGCATCAGATTTACTAACAGTGTAAACCAGTTTGGACATCAATCTGTTCACTGATCTATCGCGAAACAATATGTTTCATGTTGGGTAACCTGTATCGCTCCTACCTTGCAGATACATTCCCCCGAGGTCTTGTTACAGGCGGAGTCAAATCCGCGGTCCACACGGCAGTTGCAGGGTCCACAGACGGGGTAGCCGTACCAGGATGCAGGGCACTCCTTGGGGGCGGTCACTTCGCAGTAGTCGCCCCTCTGACGTGCCCCACACTCGCACGAGTAGAAGTTGCGCTGAGGGTTGGGGCGTCGACATGTGGAGTAGTTCTGGCAGGGATTGGCACTGGTGCAGATGTCCTTACAATCGGGGCCAATGAAACCTGGAACACAACAATTTGAAGAAGTTGCAAGAATTTTCAAGATCATGATGCTCTGAGGACAGTGATGTTCATCATGTACATAATAATAATAATAGAATAGAATAGAATAATGACCTTAGTATTATGGTATGGTATGGTATGGTATGGTATGGTATGGTATGGTATGGTATGGTATGGTATGGTATGCCCAGGGCCCTGTTCAACAAAGTGATCTTAACACTATGACTGTTGTAAGTATATGTTAATGTATGGGAGTTATGACCACCTTAGCGCTACGGCTGTTGTAGTTCTATGTTAATGTATGGGAGTTATGATCACCTTAGCGCTGCAATTGCTTTGGTGGAAAGGGACCCAGATCATTATTATATAGAGACTAATGCCCTGATCATGTATGTGAATAAAATGGGCACGTCAAGACTGTGATTGGAAGACATTAAACAAAGAATTCACTGGTGTCTGGTATCAAATGAAAAGAAATAGCAGACCAGCTTATTGGTGAAGTAAAACAGCTCTATACAAACTTGACATTAGCTGAATGGTTTGTAAAATATCTGATTGCCCAATCAAATTTTGAGGTTCATGCAATCATGATGTTCATAAACATCTGTAATAAAGGTCAATACACATGCACATTTCTATCCAGATGCGGTACGAGATTTATGGCCCGTGGCCAACTGACCTGGTGGACAATCACATGAATGATCCTCCCACTCGTCTACACAGGTGCCGATGCCACAGACGTTTCCAAGACACTTCTCCGTGCTCTCGCATCCCGCTTCCACGTTGTTCTCGTTGGGATTGTTCAACACTGTGTTGGCATAGTTGCCCATGCGGATATCCTGGAAACAGGGACAAGACATTACCGATGGTGTCACAGCGAGTTACCATACTGGGAATAGTAAATGTATGAAAGTTAGACTTTGTTCATTTCAACACTTGCTTCTTTTGGACCTAGAACAACTCTAAACGTTAGTTATGGCTAAAGTGTGTCAAAATAGGCTGATTTGATAGGCTTTTTAAGGAGTGATTTGTAATATTTAGACATGAGCAAGTACTTGACCCCGGTTGATATTTTGAGAAGTATGGTAAAAACTATCATCTTGGACACAGACTTGTTCGAAGTTAAATTAAATTGTCTTTGATTGAAAATTCATTCTTTTCACTCATTTTATCCACACTTATGTTCCTGATCATGCCAGAAGTAAACATCTTGGAAGTGTAAGAGATAAGCTTATTGATATTTTCATACCTCTATATCCGTAACTTTAAAAACTGACACAAGCACTTGGCCCCATCAGACCTAGTTCTTGAATTGAGTGAGTGAGTGAGTATGGTTTTATGCCGTGTTTAACAATATTCCAGCAATATCATGGCGGGGGAAACCAGAAATGGGCTTTGCACATTGTACCCATGTGGGTAATCGAACCTGGGTCTTCAGTGTGACGAGCGAACGCTTTAACCACTAGGCTACCCAACCGCCCCCCTAGTTCATGAAGAAGACAGTAACTACAAGTACGATGCAGACCCTCGACATCAGAAGTGAAGCCAAGTCACCTGCTGATCTCATAGTTCAACCTGCTCAAACACCTGTTCTACAACTCTATCCTTCGTATTCATACTTGAGGGAGTGAGTGATTACTGCTCGTCATCAGCATAAACAACAATCCATATTATCTGCGACATATAATCTATCAATCAGGCAGACAGTCTAGCTGCCTTCCTGATTTAGGTCAGACTCAACCATATTTCAATCTGACAGCCGAACCCCATCATGACGTCATTGTGTGTTTGTTGTTTAATGCAACACTCAGCAACAATCCAAGTATATGTTTGCTGTAAGTAATCCAGCCTGAACACGACAATCTAGTGATTGATATCATGAGCATCAATCCTAACAATTGGAATACAATGACATGCAATCAAGCAAGTCACCTAGACTGATTCGCAAGCATGGACCTATATTCCTACACAGGATCGCTCTGGGTCTGATCGTTTTGGGTACTGGAGGCTTTTTTCCTGACTGAATTAAACATGGGTTAACTCTTTACCTTGACACAGCCGTGAAAGCCATTCTTGACCGGTTCATTGCCTTGACGTGTCGCTCCCACATACACCATGCTGACCACACTACTCTTGATGGTACTCGCTCGCTCCACCTCCATCTGGGGAAACAAAATATCCCAGTCACATTAAAAGCTCTTGCATTCAAATTGGTTTTTGATTCTGAAGATACTTTGTTTCAATTCCTCCCCTTGAAATAACAGTGCTTGTGTTAGCTTTCCTTTGAAAATCTAATCATGTCAAACACAATTGAATGTAGAAATCTTACATATTATCCTGAATGAGGTAGTCTTGAATCAAGTCCAATGTTTGTTTGTTAGTGTGTTTGTTTAAGGACGCACTCAGTAATTTCCAGCTGTATGATGGCTGCCTTAAGTAATCGACTCTGAACCTGACAACCCAGTGCTCGATATTGTGAGCAAGAATCCACGCCGTCGCGCTACAATGACAGGCAATGAACCAAGTCACTGGGCCTGACCACCCGATCATGACCAGCAATGGTGGCTGTGGATCTATTCTAACCCAGAATCTCCACAGGGATGAAGTACCGTATTCGACGTAATAAGCGCTCCGCTCTAATAAGCGCCCATGTTGAGATTTGCTAATATATTGGGTGGTGAACAATCCCAATTAGCACCCCTTCCGACCCCCATTCGCATATAATACGCACCGCATCCTTTCCCTATTCGCGTATAATACGCACTCGTGTGTTATATGCACCCTTTATTATTGGCAATTAAATTCTGGAAAAATAGATCTGTCGTACATATACATTTCAGGCTGTCAGCATAAACCACAATATTTATCTTTCAACTCTGTTTTTTTCAACAAAATAATATTCTAATAAGAACCCCCTATTTCTAATTATGAGAGCGCCCTGGGCGCTTATTACGTCGAATACGGTACGCCTGATGCCTGATGATCATGCACCACAGCAAAACCACTTTCCATTTTAATGTATAGTGGGAAATAAACTGGAACGTAAGTAATATATTCCGCATGGTGCTGAGAATGCAATTTGAATGCCAAGGGCTTGGATTTTGCAATCCAGTTTCTGTTCAGTTTCAAATACAATTTTGCACAACGAAAACTACAGATAACCTAGTACTACATTGAAAACACAATATGTTTAACTCATGACCACCAAGGTCAGAGTAACCTTGACCTTACTCACACTGAGTTGGCCATAGTCGAGGGTGAGCTCTTGACGACCTTGGAACCAACGGGACTCAAAGTAGTGCCACTTCCCATCATTCACTTTGCGGAAATCAAACACGATCTTGGTAGCCTTGAAGTTGTATGTGATGAAACCATCCTCAATCTGGAAGGGGAAAAAATATGCCTTCATCATTTTTGGTCTAGTGAGTGAGTAAGTATGGTTTTACGCCGCTTTTAGCAATATTCCAGCAATATCATGGCGGGGGACACCAGAAATGGGCTTCACACATTGTACCCATGTCGGGAATCGAACCCGGGTCTTCTTCGTGACGAGCGAACGCTTTAACCACTAGGCTACCCGACCGCCCCATTTTTGGTCTAGTGTTATCTTGGTATGTTACTGATTGATCAGAACAATGTGATCTCAGTTTTTATTCAGCGCCAAAATATTGTCCTCCAGAAGGACCATCTCACCACCAGGTTCACATGTGTGCTACTGTCATGAAGATAAATCAACAACCAACCAAACGCTGAAGTATAATAAGCATGGCAGCAACACAAGTATTGGTTAGTACAAAAACAGAACAAAAGATATTTAAAAAAAAAAAAAAATTCCTCCAAGAACCAAAGTCAATCATCTCTTACCATGATAGTGACTTGGCCAACGCTGAGATTTATCTGCATGAGGGCGCCACTGTCTGCTCGGGTGCGGAAGGCAAGACCGTTATACCATGGGAAACTGACTTTGTTGTTGGTGCCGAAGTTGGAGTAGGAGAGGTATCCATTGCCTTTCAACTTCCTCGGGGACTCGATCACTGAAATAAAACATGTGACCAACACTGAACTGACTGCATGTGACGATCTCACTAGTGAAGATAGGGCTATCTGGCCATATGGTTTTGCAGTTAAGAGTAAGTTAGTTGGGTTTAACTCGAATGGATTTTAGAATGAACATTTACAACTTTGGTGAAATCAATCAGCACAGGTATGGTGCTGCAAATAAGATGGATGCCAGAACGTGGTTGTGGCATGTGGAAGTGGTAGTTGTGGTCGTGGCGATGGTAGTTGTCACTGTGGTTGGCTGCGGCGGTTGTGTGGTTGTGGTGGTTGTGTTGTGAATGTGGTGGTTGTGTGGTTGTGTAGTTGCATGGTTGTGGTGGTTGTGTGGTTGCATAGTTGTGGTGGTGGTTGTGGGATAAATGTGGTAGTTGTGGTGTGATTGTGGTTGTTGTGGTTGTTGTGTTGTTGCACGGTAGTGGTGGTTGTGTGGTCGCATGTTTGTGGTGGTTGTGGGGTGAATGTGGTTGTGTGGTGGTGGTTGTGCAGGTTGAGATGGTTGTGGTGGCTCCGGTGGTTGTGGTTACCTTGGCTACAGTCCTTGCCGCCAGCCTTGTCTCGACATTCACAGGTGAAGGTCGTCCAACCCTCCTTGCATATACCTGCACAGAACATCAGTCATGGTCATTCAATAATCCAGGATGTATCAAATCTCACAACAGTACTACAGCATAGTTTGCCAGTTCATTACTTAGCCATATCAGACAGCAACCTTTTACAAAAAGACAACCAAGAAACAGCAAGCATCAGCTAAATCTTTCATTGCACTGCCAGGCAAGTATTCTACATCCTTAGTCCATAGTTCATAAAACATTTCTATGTCATTGTAACTACTCCTAAAACAGTGAGTGAGTATAGTTTGACACTGCATTTAGCAATATTCCAGCAATACCATGGTGGGGGACACTAAGAATGAGCTTCACACATTGTATCCATGTAGAGAATCAAACCTGAGCCTTCGGCGAGAAGAGCAAGCACTTCAACTACTAGGTTACCAAATCACCCAGCTTAAACCATGAGACAATCACATTTGTGACATCAATAACCATGCTGTTTGTAAAACAAGCTTGAGTTGATTTAAGAAACAGGAGACAACTGCGACTGACCTCCATATCGGCATGGCTTTTCCGAACACATGGACTTCTTGGCCGAACAGCCTGCCTCACTGCCCTTCCCCACATAGGAGACAGATGAGTTGAGGTTTAGAATGTCGTGGTCGATGTAGAAGTCTTTAATGCAGCCGACAAAGTCCTTGTTGACTATCTGGAAGGTGGTGGGGAGGGACGGCAACCCCCCAATCTGGAGGGGGCCTGTCAGATCCAGAAGGCGATGACAAATTTTTGTGGGATTCTCGCATCTAGCAAATGAAGGATGTTATTGCAGTATCAAACCAACTGGTCATTATAACTAATAACAATCTATAACAGCTTCTCAAAGACAACGATCAAAGTATTTAAAATCAAATATGCTAAAGTACTGCTACTTACATCTTATCAAGTACTGTTGCATTGCGATCTGCACAGGAGTAGTTCCCCAGCTGGGCATGGTAGAGAATGGAGACAAGAGTGTCACAGTCTTCTCCCACTGTCACTGTGGCTTCCTGGAAGAGGAAAACAAAGGATGTCCAGTCAGGATGTGGAAGAGGATGGATGGAAGGATGGATAAATGTGGTAATGGATGGATGGATAGATGGATGGATGGATGAGTGTGAAAGGATGAAGGAGTAAAGAAGAAGATGGTTGGATGAGTGGAAGGATGGATGAGTGTGGAAAAGGATGGATGGATGGATGGATGGTTGGTTTAGTGTGGAAGCATGGATGGATGAGTAAGGAAGAGGTTGGATGGATGACTGGAAAAGGATGGATGGATGGATGTGGATTGGGATGGACTAATATGGGAGGATTGATATGGATGGATGAAAATGAGCATTGAAGGGGGTGGATTGATATGAGTGGGTGGTTGGATGGATGAGCGTAGAAGACTTTGGTTATAAAAATATTATTTCCACTGCGTGCCCTTTCATGGTATTACGATTTTATCCATGCCATTAACACGAAGAATTTGAACCAACAAACAAATAATTGGGGGAATGTTAACCACTGACACTACATATATACAAATCCCTGATATTAAACATGCACAAACTTAACAAAGAATGGAAGAAAAATTACTTACCCGATTTAGAAAATTGACCTTGACCTTCACCCATTCGCCAGTGTTCACTCCGCCCCTGACATAAGGATTGACAGTCGTGATGTCAGCACCCAGGGAGTACGAGAACTGAATCTGTCCATCGATAATTTCCAGGGCAATAAAATCGTGGAGTTCATTAAATCGCCCGTTGTAGAAGAGCAAGCCATTTTTCTCCTGCGTGGCGAATCTGCAAGAGAATAATGAGGTGGTTACGATCTGACGGCTGACATTTTATCTTGATGCTTGCTCTTGCATCTTGCAACACAAGTCATAGCTCAAACTGATTGAATGAGATCTCAATACTGTCCATTTCAACCAATTCAATTTGACATGAAACATAATTTCATTGTAAATTATCTCGACTGACTTTTATATTTTTAGCATATGGATTCAAAGAATCACCTTTTAAGAGCTGAAACACTGAAGTTGAAAATCATTATTTCAAATTATCTCACACAAAAAACATTCAATACTGGAAATATTGGTAAGGACCAATACATGAGCTGCTTAATTTAAGTCTATAGTTGTATTTTCACAAATATGAAACAAAATATCGGCTTTTTATGATCACTAATGCTTCACAAATGACATCAATAAAACCATGGCCCAATAACTCAATTCTGAGTCTTTACAATTACTTCAACTGGCCACATTAACTCTCTATGCAGGCGCTACCACTGCACACAGCACATTCAGTATTTAACCAGGGTTACACGGTCATACCGATTGTGGCATTAGGCATTGGCCAAGCGCTCTCCCGACACACATTAATGACTCACAGCCTGGTCCGCTTCCACTATTGATTGCTGTTCTATAGCATTCCGGCCACGCATGTAAAAATCAATTAATCAGAAGCACTAATTTAAGGCCAGATTGAGTGCATTTGTGAACAATGTGAATCAACAGAGTGTCTTTGAGTGGTCAAATAAAGCGAATCAGATGCCTGTTGAACTGGCAGCTGTGAGTGAAGCCAAGATCTCATTGCAACCCCATAAATGACAAAATTAAATGAGACACTGTTTTCATTCAAAAGCATTCAAACATCTTGGAACAGAAAGGGAGATAATCTACTGACCAGACTGAGAAGCCATTAAGTAAATGTAAGAATATGATTGATATAAGAATAGTGCATTCAGGAAAATTATGAACAAAAAACATCTCAAAAATGAAAATTGGTACTTGTCAATATCTTAAAAAGACAATTTTTGTTTGTCTTGTCTGTTGTTTACAGTGAATGAGTGAGTGAGTGAGTTACGTTTAACGCCGCTTTTAACATTATTCCAGTTATATCACGGCGTGTCAGCTTTATGTGGGAGGAAAGCCCGAAGTGATGCAGGTCTCAGACGTTTACCACTTCGGTGAAACACACGAGCACGGGTATGGTGCTGACAAACCTAGAAACATAATCGGGGCGAAACGGGATTTGAACCCACAACCATAGGTTTCTGGCGTGCCCACCCACGACTGGGCCACCCGTGCCCCCCTGTTGTTTACACCAATCAGCAATATTCCAGCTTTAATACGATTGCTTGCAAACAATCGAGTCAGAGCCAGACAAAACAGTGGTTGATATTATGAACAGAATCAGGGTATGATGGCACACATAAACCAAGTGACTGAACCTGATCACCCAATGAGTTTGAGTCAACTCTTACGACAAGCGTAGGTTACTAAGGACTAGGGCTGAGACGAATCCAAATTTACTACCCGGGTACCCGCCCGGCTCTTAACCTACCCTACCCGGGTACCCACTGTAGATCTCTGGAGATGTCTCAAAATGGCCGATTGGGAACTTTTTTAGCATAGCCCTGGCAAAGCGTATTTAGATACATCTATTAAACAATCTGGTCATGCATACACTGAAGTTGACTTAAGTTATATCTTTATTCATCCATATGAAAAATCAGAAGGAATGGGTGCATAGTGAGAAAGAAAAGCAAACATTAATGACTTGTAGCGTAACCGTAGAGTTCCAGATAATGATAGTCATTAGACAATATATCACGTGACTAACCACGGGTCCGTGTAATCCTGTGGGTACCCGGGTCCTACTCAGTACCCACCCAACCCGGGTACCCGGGTACCCGGGTTACACGTCCCAGCCCTACTAAGGACCAATCAAATCCCCAAAGCCCTAGTTTGAACAACATAAGACCTTGTCAGGCAGGTGAGCACACCTTACACACAAGCCAGGTGTGCCATATTTACCCTATGACACAATACTCCAACACTGATGAATTTTAATAAGACAACTGGCATGTTATCCAGAAAGCTACTGGTATCCCACTTTAAAAACCCACCGGAGGAATGTCACTTTGATTTCCCCCGAAGACACATGCCCATGCATTTGAAGTCAAGTTTAGATGGATTAAGATTAAGTAGGTCAGATTGGTTGATAACATTTATTCTTTCATCCAAGCTCAAGTGAACATAATACGATTACCCAATGAACATAACTGCAGCGTGATATGAAATGCTTGTACATATGCTACACTGTCAATCACAAAGCTAGTCATTGTCCAGGTGCTTCCCCCAGTGGTGGAGTTCGACAACAATGGCGGCAAGGTGCCTGGATACAATGTAATGCTCCAATGAAGAAGGATATAAGGCAAGGCCAATTCAATTACTTGTTTTTAAGACTGATATCCCAAAATATGTGAAAGGTGGGGGGGGGGGGGGGGGTCGGTGGGTGAGTGAGTGAGTGAGTGAGTGAGTGAGTGAGTGAGTGAGTGAGTGAGTGAGTGAGGTTTTATGCCCCTTCTAGCAATATTCCAGCAATATCACGGCAGGGGACACCAGAAATGGGCTTCACACATTGTGCCTATGTGGGGAATCGAACCCAAGTGTTCAGCATGATGAGCAAACGCATTAACTACTAGGCTACCCCAACGACCCCAATACATGAATGAAAGATGAGTTTTGAAACAATACAATTAATTACTTTTATTTAAGCTCTGTATCTCACCTATCATAAAGGAAAAATGGTTGGCATGTTTAAAGTCAGATTGTAATGAAGTAGACAATCCATGACAAAATTTATTATTCCACCGAGCCCATTTCAGCATTTCTTGAGCATAATACACAAATTTTTCAGGGTTCATTTTGGAGGGAGCAGGACGATGCTATCTTTATTACCTTCAGACAATTACGTTTGTATAGAATCAGATTTTAGGGGGAATATGGATAAAAAGTGACAGGTAGATCTGCAAAAATAATAAAATAAGTTATGACATGAATCTGGCCGAAGAAGTGAATCCAATACTTCGTCGCCCAGGTGTTACCTGGGAACAGCTGATTCATGAGGTGCAGTGTTTTCATAAATATCTCATCTCAGAACTCATAACAAAGAATACACTGTATGTAGAGCGATGAAACAAGAATTGACATCCAGTCGGTATCATGAATGTGGTGTACCATATTGTTATCATCAGTACAGGACTGAAGGAATTCTAATAATGGCCCAAATAAATAATTTGTTCTTCCCAGAAACATTGCTCCAACTAAAATCCTTTGAGATCATGTTCTTGCATCCAGAGAGAATTATGAAGAAATGTTGAAAATGGCCACATAAAATAAATTCTTGCCTTTCTGTCCACATAACCAGCTTTTTTTAACACAAGGGACCCCAGACAATATTAATCATTTTGCACCACAAGGAATAGCTACATTATCTTCTGCTGAAGGAAGTAAAATTTGGGAACCAGACTATTACTTTAATCTACCTAATAAGCACACCAGGGCACACTTGCACAAAGTGGATGTAGTACTACGACAGCAGTAAATCTCTCACATTAACGGACATTTACGACAACCATAGCACTACAAGTGCTCAGTGCAAATAAACCCAGGTAGTCACTATGCTTCATAGTCAGCTGCCCATTTCCATCCTGATGAAAACATTACAATAACTGCCTTGTGTGAAACGGAGACGTTGTCTTCTTTGTAATTAATGAGTGAGTTGGGTTTAACACACTTTGAACAGTAAACCAGTTATAGCCCATTTTCACACTCCAAAGTGAAGTAGGTCTGTGTTTACATTGGTAAAACCCACAAGCATGGGCATTATATTGGCAAACCTATAAACCTTATCAGGTCGAATATGGAATTTGAACCCATGATCATAGGCTTCAGCCCCACCTAAGGGACGCAACTCTCCAAGCAATGCCCTCAATTAGTTCAATGACCTGTGTTTGTATTGTCTGGCCAGCTCTTTGACAAATGCAACAGTGTGCTGGTGGTGATGGGGAAAGAGTGGAGAACTCAAATTTGAGTCAGGGGTTCTGTATATACAGTTTAATAAGGTACTAATTCATGTATCACATTGGGATAAGGTTGCAGTACTCATAAAATCAATGAATGTGTATCAACATAAAATAGTTGACCGCTGTATTATGCAGCACCCTGACAGAGGGAAGCACCGCCACAAATTACTTTGTTCACGCCAGGCACACGACATTGCAGACAAATACCACCATAAGCCTGTGTATTGATTTTCCCGATGGCTGAGGCTCCCCTTGCTTGATTGTAGAGAAGTCAAGTCTCGCGAGAGTTAATCATGACTCTTACGGAGAGTACAGAAAGAAATGCTTCTCATACCAAAAACTATACCACAAGTAGGCTATATGTTTAATACTCAGGGCTAATTATATCCCTTTGTTTTCAACAGTAAATTACGTCCTGTCACTCAACTGGACTCCCAGACATTCTCCACAAACAGACTATTAATTTTTACATTCTTGTTGAACAGACTCAAAATGGGATTTTCAAGTAAATATTTTCAAATGTGAAATAGATACAATGAAATACCATTATCATTGCTGGGAATACCAGAAATTAACTTATGCTGTACCGATGACGGGTCATGGTTCTACAGTGCACACAAATAAATTTTGACAATGTCAATCAAATTTTGAGAAAACTTTGGCTAGTGGCGAGTAGCGACCTCTTTAAAACATCATAAATAAATAAATCTTTATTAGAGATAATCAAACTTGAAGCGATTTAAAAAAACTGCTAAAACTGACTTTATGGACAAATCTCTCAAGTTTAAAAAGGAAAATATTTACGCTCATGGAGATCATGTTTTTAACGTTATTCATAAGCAATGTGTTCACACATCTACAATTGCAATCAACAATCCAGTATTTATTTCTTTATTTTGCAATGAAAACATCATGAACTGAAAGA